TGAACAAGAATGTAGTTGTATTGCCATTTGGTTAAAAGCTTCAAAAGCTGCTTGGAGCACTCTTAAATGATTGTTTACGTTCGACCAACCACAATTTTGTTGCTAAAAATAGCACAAGTGATAGGCATGTTTATATAACCATAAGGCAATGATTATTCGACTGCAAGAGAAGTCACTCAAGATGAGCTTGATATACTTCTCTCATATGATCAAAATATGTATTCAAGAACAGAGCAGATGGAAACAGAAGCGGCTGGCAATCCGGGATCATGAGTTCGAATCTTGCTTCGAGAAACCCTCGGTGGAGGAGAGGTAAATTATATATAGGTGTTATTAATAAATGCAAACATTAATTTAAGACATATATCATATAATCAACGATAACATTTCTAGATAAAATTCTCTCAATTAATGATTAGAGAGATTAATTGAAAGAATATCAATCAAAGATTAAACAGATGCTTGTTACTACTTCCTCCATGATCACAGAATGTGAATTATGGCATAATTACATATTTTTTCAATGTGCACAAATAAATTAAATTAATAAAAACTGTTCAAGCAATTATTTTGGCGTACCGCGACAATTATTAAACTAATTTTAATCTGTGAATATTGTGAGTACTTACACAACGGTTATTAAGGAGTCATTAAAAAGTGCTATAAACGCTTTTCACCGCTTGCTGTATAGTGATTATTTAGGAGTCATAAAAGAGTGTAACAAACGCCTCTCAGGTTCAATCTCTAAAACATTTCGAAGCAGCTGTTAGGAGGTGTCTACAAACGTTGTATTAGAGCTTTCACCAAAACAATAAAGCTTGAGTTTAAATATGTATCTATAAACGTTGTATAAAAGTCGCTTCTATCCGGTTGTTAAGGAGTCATTGAAAAGTGCTATAAACGCTTTTCACCGCTTGCTGTACAATGATTATTTAGGAGTCATAAAAGAGTGCAACAAACGCCTCTCAGGTTTACTATCTACTAAATTTCAAAGCAGCTGGCAAGAAGTGTCTACAAACGTTGTATAAGAGCTTTCACCAAAATAATAAAGCTTGAGTTTAAATATGTATCTATAAACGTTGTATAAAAGTTGCTTCTACTCCTATACCGCGTATACATATAATGCTATAGTTGAACAGGTTCTCCAAACCAGTGTAAACAAGAGTTTTACAGAAGTTGTAATAAACAAATTGTACAGTTATTATTCAGCATGCAGTTGAATAAAATCACAATGGAAGCGTTTCTTCAACAAGAAATTGATTTTGGATAAACGTTTTACTGAATACGTTAGACAACACCTTTGTGTTGCAGTTGTATAGGTTCTCCAAACCAGTGTAAACAAGGGTTTTATAAAAGTTGTAGTGAACACATTGTGCAATTATTATTCAACATGCAGCTGAACAAAATCAAAACGAAAGCGTTTCTTCAACTGGAAATTGTTACTTGGGGTCTTAAATTAATGTTTGCATTTATTAATAAACACCTTTATATATAATTTACCTCTACTCCACCGAGGGTTTCTCGAAGCAAGATTCAAACTCATGATCCCGGATTGCCAGCCGCTTCTGTTTCCATCTGCTCTATTCTTGAATACATATTTTGATCATATGAGAGAAGTATATGAAGCTCATCTTGAGTGACTTCTCTTGCAGTCGAATAATCATTGCCTTATGGTCATATAAACGTGGCTATCACTTGTGCTATTTTTAGCAACAAAATTGTGGTTGGTGGTTGGTCGAACGTAAACAATCATTTAAGCGTGCTCCAAGCAGCTTTTGAAGCGTTTAACCAAAAAGGCAATACAACTACATCCTTGTTCAACTCTGGAAGCTATTATTCAACGTTTGATCAACTCAGGTGTTTTATAAGAGCTCCCAATGGTTTGTTTTGATGCGTTTATTCCACATCCTATATGGCTCCTGTCAAACAGTTTAACCGTATGTAAACAATCATTTAAGAGTGCTCCAAGCAGTTTTTGAAGCTTTTAACCAAATGGCAATACAACTACATTCTTGTACAACTCTGGAAGCTATTATTCAACGTTTGATCAACTCAGGTGTTTTATAAGAGCTCCCAATGGTTTGTTTTGATGCGTTTATTCCACGTTCTATATGGCTCCTGTCAAACAGTTTAACCGAACGTAAACAATCATTTAAGAGTGCTCCAAGCAGCTTTTGAAGCGTTTAACCAAAAAGGCAATACAACTACATTCTTGTACAACTCTGGAAGCTATTATTCAACGTTTGATCAACTCAGGTGTTTTATAAGCGCTCCCAATGGTTTGTTTTGATGCGTTTATTCCACATCCTGTATGGCTCCTGTCAAACAGTTTAACCGAACGTAAACAATCATTTAAGAGTGCTCCAAGCAGCTTTTGAAGCGTTTAACCAAAAAGGCAATACAACTACATTCTTGTACAACTCTGGAAGCTATTATTCAACGTTTGATCAACTCAGGTGTTTTATAAGAGCTCCCAATGGTTTGTTTTGATGCGTTTATTCCACGTTCTATATGGCTCCTGTCAAACAGTTTAACCGAACGTAAACAATCATTTAAGAGTGCTCCAAGCAGTTTTTGAAGCTTTTAACCAAATGGCAATACAACTACATTCTTGTACAACTCTGGAAGCTATTATTCAACGTTTGATCAACTCAGGTGTTTTATAAGAGCTCCCAATGGTTTGTTTTGATGCGTTTATTCCACGTTCTAAATGGCTCCTGTCAAACAGTTTAACCGAACGAAAACAATCATTTAAGAGTGCTCCAAGCAGCTTTTGAAGCTTCTAACCAAAAAGGCAATACAACTACATTCTTGTTCAACTCTGGAAGCTATTATTCAACGTTTGATCAACTCAGGTGTTTTATAAGAGCTCCAAATGGTTTGTTTTGATGCGTTTATTCCACATCCTGTATGGCTCCTGTCAAACAGTTTAACCGAACGTAAACAATCATTTAAGAGTGCTCCAAGCAGCTTTTGAAGCGTTTAACCAAAAAGGCAATACAACTACATTCTTGTACAACTCTGGAAGCTATTATTCAACGTTTGATCAACTCAGGTGTTTTATAAGAGCTCCCAATGGTTTGTTTTGATGCGTTTATTCCACGTTCTATATGGCTCCTGTCAAACAGTTTAACCGAACGTAAACAATCATTTAAGAGTGCTCCAAGCAGCTTTTGAAGCTTCTAACCAAAAAGGCAATACAACTACATTCTTGTTCAACTCTGGAAGCTATTATTCAACGTTTGATCAACTCAGGTGTTTTATAAGAGCTCCCAATGGTTTGTTTTGATGCGTTTATTCCACATCCTGTATGGCTCCTGTCAAACAGTTTAACCGAACGTAAACAATCATTTAAGAGTGCTCCAAGCAGCTTTTGAAGCGTTTAACCAAAAAGGCAATACAACTACATTCTTGTACAACTCTGGAAGCTATTATTCAACGTTTGATCAACTCAGGTGTTTTATAAGAGCTCTCAATGGTTTGTTTTGATGCGTTTATTCCACGTTCTGTATAGCTCTTGTGAATCAGTTTAACTAAGGTGCTATAAAAGTTATCGTAGGTCTTATAAAGCATATAGTTAAACTGAACGTAAACAATCATTTAAGAGTGCTCCAACAGCTTTTAAAACTTTTAATCAAATGGCAATACAACTACATTCTTGTTCAACTCTGGAAGCTATTATTCAACGTTTGATCAACTCAGGTGTTTTATAAGAGCTCTCAATTGTTTGTTGGGTATTTTCCACAAAAACAAGCCATAACTTTTCAAATAAAAGAGATAACAACTTAGTAAAAATATGCGTCATAAAAAGTTCTTAAAGTATGAAAATTTCACGAGGAATGAACGTATAAAAATATATATAAAGAATGCCGATTGTCTAGGGGCCACCCTAACCTGCTTTTTTAACAAAATCATAACTCATTAACCATAAGAGATAGATATATGGAGCGTGTGTGTATGTGTGTGCGTGTTGGTGTGCTATTAAAAATCCATTGTGAAGCTTGCTACAGTATACACCGCAGATTATATAACATATAAACGGATATTTTCCAACGAACACTTTACTTATTATTCCTAATTTCAACATCTTTCACAAAAAATCGCAACACATTGAAGCCTATCTGAAAGCTAACTTTTCTAGCTATCTTTTGATTACTGAAAGATAGTCGGTGGATGTGTTCGTCATATGTTTTGTTTAGTCTAAATGTGAAAAAAAGAATATTTTTGCTATTTTTTTATAAGAAACTGTCACTTAGAACAGTGCAGACACTCTGTTTTACCTTCCATTTGACGTGAAATAAGCCGAGGAACTTTTGTTCTGAAGCAACCAAGTTGAAAACACATTATTTTTTGCTATATTTGATCAAAACAGTAACAATAAACATTACGATTTTTTTCAAAAATGTGTGGTATCGCTACACTATAACAACCATAAAAAAAATGTATAATCAACAGAACTGCACAAATCATTCAATTTAGGATACTCTTAACATGTAAAAATGATAAAAAATATTGAAATAGAAATATATCAACTAAAATTTTTGAGGTTTTGGCCAGCCAGGAACCACTGTGCACCGGGGTTAACCGAGTAGAACGCGACGCTGGGAGCTAAATGGCTCAAAAATTGAAGAGACGATCAGCGAACTGGAAGCGCCAGTTAGCTGAGGTAAAGTGAGGTGCGTAATGCACAGACCCCTCCGAAGTAATACGACAAGCGGTTCCGGGGGAAAAAGGGCAAGGCGTCCAAGGAGGTTTTAGTGCGGTGAGAATCCCACACACCGTGTCACCGCGACCGTGCGCCCGGTCCTCTAGCGGTGGCATGATGACCTTTTAAAGGTTTCCAAAAAAACACTCTGTAAAATTGTTACAAATTCTAGGACCCCTCGCTCCCTCAAGAGAGGACGTATATTTGAATCACCCCTCAGAGTGAATGCATTTTCCTTTCCTGATGATGCCTCTTTGACGTCTACGTCCTTGAAATGAATGAACTTAAGTTTTTTTATGTTTAGTAGTGTTGAATCGAAAGTGTCGGCGGCTCTGTTTTTCCGCCACAACCGTGCACTAGTGTAGTGAGCGGATGCAGTTCCTACAGTGATCGTGTTCCGTGCAGATAATAATGCATCAGCTGACCAACAGAGCTCAGGAACATTACCGTTTTTAGAACCAGACAGAACTGCGCCCACGTTGGACATTTTCTTCGCCACCGGAATTGTACCAGGATGACTAAGGATTCGCAAATAAGCAGCTGGTAAGTGGACCTATATGGTGTAGTGTAGTAGTGCGTATGCAAAGCAAGTATGACGACAAATTCAAGACTAATCATGTAATCTTCTATACTGATCATTTGCGCAAAAAATAGCGATCGTTGCCCAAGGCTAGTGGCTTTTGGTAATGTGCTGCTGGATATTAGCGTAGAACTGCATGACAGCAAAATTCTCAAGGATTTCGATCTGAAGGAAGATGACCAACGGGAAATTCCAGCGGAGAAGCTGGCTCGATTGGGGGCTGTTGCCGTGGAGACGTAAGTGTGATAGGTCAATACATTATGGGTGCCTGTTTTGGATCGAAAGTAGCTACTGCCGCAGCACATGAGGTTTATTGCGAATCAAGGAAAAGAAAAAAAAAAACAAGTTGATACTGAAGCTAAGTATAGTATTAACTATCTAGCTTCAGTGGATAGAGAACCGCAGCAGCAGAAAAGCAGTGCTGCTGCTTCGTTATTTGAGTTGGCGTGTAGGTTTTTTTTATTGCTGTTGTTTATTTTAGATGCGGCAAACCGAAATACAATCCTGGCGGATCGGCCCTGAACACGTGCCGAATTTTGCGCGCATTAGGCGAAAAGAACGTGATTTTCTGCGGTGCTGTTGGAGCAGACGAGAATGGAGAAATTTTAACGCAAATTTTAAAGGACACTTCATTGTCCACTTGGTAAGATCCGTTTTATCGATATGATGAGTAGCTTGGTACGAAAGATCGGAATTTATTTGTGTCTTACAGTATCCAAACATTGCCGGAATATTCAACCGGCACTTGCATCTGTCTTATCAGTGGTGATAAACGAAGCCTTAACGCAAACATTGGAGCTTCGTTGCATTTCAAGAAAGAGTTTGTAATGTCACGTTGGTGTCAAAGCAAGATAGGTAGCTGCACGTCAGCAGCACATGCCGACGTCGATGAGGAAGTTCGCATTTTCTACGTCGAAGGGTACTTTGTGCCGGAAAAATTTTTCATTTGCAAGCACATCTACGAAAAGTACTGCAAGGGTACTCCAAACCTTTTCGTTACCAATCTGAATGCAAGCTATATTCTGCAGAACTATACTAAAGAAATGCAATATCTGGTTGAACAGGCCGATTTGGTTTTTGGCAATCTGACCGAATTTGTGTCGCTGGCTGAGATCTACGAGTGTGACACCGTAGACGATTTGGCTAAACGTCTAATTCGAAAGTATTTGAAAATCAATCGAGAGAAGATTCTCGTCGCCACCGACGGTTCCCGATGCGTTCGATTCTATCACGGCAACGGCAGTGCATTCTATGCAGAGTCCTACCAGGTTCCGATAATTCCCAAAAAGGCCGTGATTGACACGACTGGTAAGTGTTGGCGCTGAGATGGCAATACAGTTTCTCATAAAATCTAACGCTTGATTTCCTCCAGGTGCCGGTGACTCTTTCGTCGCTGGATTTTTGTACAAATACATGCACGGAGAATCTCCCACGCTGTTGGACTGCATTCGGTATGGTAGCAAAGTGGCCGCCAAAGTAATTCGACAGGTAGGCTGCAATCTGCCCTCATCGCTACCGTCTTCGCCAGTGAGCGTCATGGTGCCGCCAGCTGTAGAAGAAGCAGAAACGAAACTCGCTTAAACTTGCCGAGCTACTTTAATCTTTCTACATCCTTTAAGTATCTTATTGCCCTGGGAAAGGTGTACTTATAGTGTATTATTTAGTTCCTAAGAGTTAACGGTGTTGTGTGTAATTTCATCGATCTGATGTTGTAAGGAAGGTTATAGTGCGATCTCATTTTAATCATCTTTAGTTCTAGCGCAGCACAACAGCGGTTCTGCTAAATACACAAAATTTGGAATAGGTTTATAGGTCCAAATTTCATGACATTTTAATGCCGTTTCGTTATCAACGTTTATAAGCCTCAAATATGCAATCACTGGTAAGCAAGCCACACTCGTTTCATTACATCATCAAAATATTTAATACATATGGCTGTTGATTACATACATGGTAAACAAAGTATACATAAATGGTATAATTTTTATCCGAAATAATCATGGTCCAATGGCATACCTGCCGTTGTCAGGCATCTAACGTTCAGTGTCTGCTGAATATTTATTTACTTGAATAGTTACCCATCTTCATGATGGGGATCGGGAAAAGCTTGTTTGAGTTGATTCGAATTATCTTGTTGAATTAGGAGTAAAACCCTATATCCTTTTCGTAATGCTTACACAAAGTTCAATACAAAAAATACTGTTTTCGGCACAAACAATCTAATTTTCAATCGAGATTTGTTGAGATTGAATGCTTTTGGGGTGGAACCCATATGGTTCATGAGAAATGTAGTTTTTGGAGCCGGCCTTTAATGGTCGTTAATAATGGAGATAATTCTCGAATATTTCAGAGCAGGCATAACGTAATGTAACGGTAACTTTTCATTCTTCGCTTGGTCGTGTTCGAACTATTCGAACATTATTGAGTGCGTCGATTTACACTCAGGCAAAAATAGCAAATGATTTTCATAAAATCCATCTTATGAAGCGAGTTTTTATTATTTTTTTGTGCTTTCATAAGATTCTTATGTAATTCACACGATCTGAGCGAAATTTATACGACACAACATTATTTTCCATACGTTCCGCACATCCATTTCATAAGCGCTCTTATAAAATCCGTGTGTCACATCAGTGTGAAAAATCATAAGTGCTTCGTGAGAAAAAGAAAAATGGCGACCGAAAGTAATTTGTTGTCAGACCTACCGAATACTTCTTCCACTTTAAACACAAATTAAACAAATTAACATTTATTACACCGAACCAGCAAAATGTATTGCAGGTTCGGTATTATGAATGTTAAACATGCTCCATGTATTCATAAACTTAATTCCATTAGAGTGTCTTATGAAATTCATAAAATAGATTAGATGTCCGCTCATAAGATTATCTTATGAAAAATTCTAGACCATAGTATGAAAAAGAACATCAACGCCACTGACGTCATTTCATAAGAACTTCTTATTTATTTCAAAGTGCTCCGAGCCTCCACGGTACCTCAATACTAAATCAGAGTTAGAATGAATGGTGTTTCTGCCAAAAGAATTGTAAAAATACCACTGATTTTGACTCCACTTGACTTCAAAAATGCCTCCGACTTTGACCCGACTTGCATATTGTATGACCTCTAGTGGACTTGCACTTGGTGAACTTGCACTTGGTGGACTTGCACTTGGTGGACTTGCCTTTCATATTAAATATATGCAATAATGTAAGAAAATTTCACTCGGTCTTCTATATCTCTACCAGCTTTAGAGGACAACATGAGCTTATTCGTTTTCACTTTCAGATATGTTATTGGATAGCGATATTTTAAATAAACATTTTGTTAACAGTTAGGCAAATTCTGCGCGGCGTGTGAGGTTAGGTAACAGTGAAGTGATGGTGAATGACAATTGTCACCTCGGGTGAGTCTCCGTGCTAATCAAATGGAGAGTCACCTCACCCGAGGTGACAATTGTCACTTCACTAGTAACATCGAGTCACCTCACCTCACACGCCACGCAGAATAGGCCTAATTGAAAATTTTAACTTGAAATTGTGCACCGAGGTCAATAAACAACTGGAATAACATTAAGAAGACCTCCAAGTTACTATAAATACTGTCCTGTTTGTATCTAGAGCTCAGCATAGTCACGTGGGCCGTTTACTCCTTAAGAGCAAAAACCATCGATCTTGCGGACTTCCTCCGCAAGCATACCATCGACGTGGGCTTCCTCACCGAGACCCACCTCAAGTCTGGCGACAGTTGCTGCTTGTCGGACCACAACATCATTCGGCTTGATCGTACCAGCTCCAAGGGGGGTTGTTGATGCGATCATCGTCAGGAAAAGGGATAAAATACCGCAGAGTGTCCCATATCTTCTTCTTCTTCTTCTTCGCATTTCAAGCTTATTGCATATCGCATATTAGCTTATTGCGTGCTCTCAACTTAGTGTTCTAGATGCACTTCCACAGTTATTAATTGAGAGCTTTCGATGCCTGTACCATTTTTGCATTGATATGATTGTGTGGCAAGTCCAATCATACTTCTATGCCCAGGGAAGTCGAGAAATTTTCCAACCTGAAAAATTCCTAGACCGAACCGGGAATCGAACCCAGCCACCTCCAGCATGGTCTTGCTTTGTAGCTGCTCCTCTACCGACTGAGCTAAGGGAGGCCCCAGAGTGTCCCATATTCGCACCTCTATTATCGAGGCCCTTGGTGTGGAGCTGGAGTCGTCGACTGGATACGTCCAGTTCATCGTCGTCTACTGCCCTCGACAGTGTGCCGCCAGCAGTGGACTACCGGCTTAATTCAAGAAGGAACTGTCCACCATCACCCGAACCGGTTCTCGCTTCGTTAATGGAGAAGATCTGAATGCTCGCCATGAGACCTGGCGGAACGGTCGTCTGCTGTTCGACCACTCGCAGCATGGGCTGTACTCCGTTTTATTCTCGGACGAGCCAGCATTCATCTCACCGGCGGGCAACCCATCGACGCTAGTCCTGTGTCTGACAAATACCGGCTTATCCAAGTCGGTAGCCTTGAACGAACTCAGCTCCGACCATCAACTGGTGGTGACTGAACTGAACTGCTCCAAGTCTGCGCAAGGACTACCATCGCGTAAACTGTGCCCAGTTTGGACGCGTGGTAGACAGGCACATCATCGACAACCTGCCACTTGACACCGTGGAGGACATCGACCGAGAGTTGTGGAGGACATCGACCGAGAGTTGTGAAGGGTAAGTTTATTATCATTGATTCCCACACCCCAGTCTTGATTCGCCTGAGAAATATTCGTAGACGCCAGTTCCAAAAAACCGCCCAACAAACATTGGAAGCAGAATAAAAGCCTATTGACCACTTTGTCAAGCAGTTTTGGTGTGACTTTCTACCAGCGATTTCACAAAACTGGACAAACTAATTTCTATTTTTTTGTGAAACGCACAAATGTTGGCTACTTTTCTCGATGTTCTAGAAGAAAAAATCTCAAAATAATATTTTATTTCAAAGTTCGAGTGGTAATAAACGTCATTTTAGCTGCTCGAATGAAGAGGTTAATTCAGGTATAAATATACATTTTCAGCTATAAAATTTCTTATCCAGCCTTTAATCCAAACAAATTGTTGGGCGGAGATCTAGCGAGGAAACGTGAAATGGCCGATCTGAGCAAGGAGATTGCTTCCACGAAAGTTTCGGGCGGCTCGTCCAGGTTGCCAAGGTCCTAAAGATGCACCACAGACCCATTCCACCACTCAAAGATGAATATGATGACGATCGGCTCATAATCACCCCTCAGGAGAAAGCAAATGCGATTGGTGAGCATATTGCCAAATCGCACTTGCTTGGCTTCAACATACTAAGTCCGCTCAAAGATCAGGTTGTGCAATGAGTACTCCTTGTTTCCTCCCCTTGTGCTATCCCTCCGGAGGATAGGATCTCAGTGGAACAGATTTGCTCATTGAAGGCCACGGGTTCAGCATGAAGGTTCACTTTCTGCTGGCTGCTGTCTTCAACAGATCCTTGGAACTGCACTACCGGGAAGCAGGGTTGCTTCCATTCACTTGCTATAAAATATTGTTTTTAAAAATTATGAAAGCATTAGATGTTATAATGGTAATTAGTACTTGTAAGTTACAAGAACAGGTCGTGAAGTATGTGTTTGACACATAAAACCTGTCAATATGGCTTTCAGTGCGTCACAATCAGCGATTTCACGATTCGTGAGCGCTCACTCTGAGTGAACGCTCACGAATCATAAGATCACTGATTGTGACGCTCTAAAAGCCAAATTGACAGGTTTTATGAGTCAAACACACACTTTACATCCTCTTCTTGTTACTTGCAAGTACAACATATCATTATATCATCCAACGATTCCATAATTCCGAAAAACAATTTTTTATAGCAAGTGAGTGCAAGCAACCCTGCCGGGAAGGACCCAACATTAGCTTCAAGCTATAGACCGATCAGCCTCCTTTCTGCGCTGAGCAAATTGTTCGAGGAACTTATTCTCAAGTTTGTCGAGGAATTCAACTTTCTCCTACCGGAACCGTTCGGGTAAGGGCACTCCACAAACCATTAGCTAGTGCGGGTGATAAATAACATCCGAAGTAACAAGGCTGTATCCTAGTTCACAGCCATGGCATTGTTAGACTTTAAGAAAGCGTTTGACAATGTCTGGCACTTTCCTTTTTCGGTAATTTTCTCGATTACCGAAAACATTACCGGCCGTTCAGCTGTTGAGAATTCGGTAAATAAATTACCGAAGTCGGTAATTTTTTCTAAGTGTGCCCGTAACTACCTTCAGCAAAGGTCGTTCAGGGTATCATTGAATGGCTGCCTTTCAGACACGTTCTCCATCCTAGCAGGTGTTTCACAAGGGGCCCTTTGCTTTACAGCATCTACACTTCCGACATTCCTCCGACATTGATACCGCAATAGCCTTCAAGGGTAAGATGCCTCGCGAAATAACAAACAAGCTCCAACGATGTCTTGCGCCTTTGCTGATTATGCCACCACATGGAAAATCAAAATCAATGCCTCCAAAACTCAAGCGATCATGTCCCTCCATCGGCAATAGCCCAAACTCAAACCGGCTTCATCTTATACTGTAATCATAGATGGCACAAGTGTAACCAGTTGGTTACAATCCGTGGATTTTCGTTTGTATGAGTTGTTGTTGTTTGGAAAATTCACGTATTTTAATCTCAAAGACAGAAGGCAACACACAGCAGCGAGAGGGTTAGTACCGCTGCAAAAACACTCGAACTATACTAAAGGGAGGACAATCGTAGTCTTAAGCTAAAAATGAAGAATGATCGGCAAAAGGCATGCTAGTGGCCATGTTCTAAAAGAAAAAAAAACCTTCTAATTGGCAGAAGTAATCAGGCGTCCGTGTAGACCGGTATCGTGAAGTGTAGTGCATATATAATACAACCCTCCCCCCTTGTGGGGGTGGTTTTCAGTGCTTTTGTACATTTTGTACACCTCGTACCTTAAATAAAACGGTTTTATACGGCTCGGCTCGGAAGTCAAGATGGCTTCCGAGCCTAATAGTAAATGATCCTCGATCGTCCGTCAGGGACCTCAGGCCGGTGGCCATAATTACCAAAGAGGTTCCCGTCTCGGCTCGACCAAAGTGGCCATGCCACGGTCATCCGATGCCGTCAACGACGGAAGACGCCTGCCAGTCAAACGAGCCAGCAACGCCTGCTGAGCCGTATGTGGCTGATGAACGCCACCAGATCCGCCATTCTCCCAAAGCTGCAACAACACTGTCTGCAGCCCGCGCCGCAAGTTTCCGGCCACACGGTAGTGCAGGAGCAGCCGTGTGGGCCAACGCCAGCGTCGCGACGCCGTAGGAGATCCCGCTGCAGCAGTGAGTACTAAATTTTAAACCCTCGCATACACGCCACATATATGTGAAAACCCACACCCACACGCCACAGAAAACGGAAATAAATGTTAGAAAATGTGAATGTTCCCGAGGGGGGCGACTCTATCTACGATGCAGGAAAGATTGTGGTTTGCTGTGGCTAGCTGCGCGTACGCTGAGTAGATAGAAAGTTGATTGGTGACGAGTCTAAAACTTTCCTGCAAAAAGATGATGCGCGATGTAAGTAGATGCGTGAAATGAAAGAAGATTTTTAGAAGATTGATTCGCTTATGTGAGATTTTTCGAGCATCTAGAATTGAGATTTAGATGTGTCGCCCCCCTCGAATGTTCCTGCGTTTCATACTTTGTCCGCGTAGCCCCTCCGCATACCCAGTAACATGCCAGCCCTGCTAAAAAACTGATAATTTGGCAAGGGATATGCAGCTGCGGAGCAAAGACAAAGTGTTCGTGACGAATCAGGCGATAGACTCGAAGCTGTACAAGGAAGAATGCCTCAAAAACCGCAAAAACACCCAACTGCCCGCAGTTCCGGCCCATCGAGAGATTTTGAGCAATAATGAAGCGGAAGCTTAAGAAAAGTGGAAAAATGGCTCGGGACGCGATTCAGATGTGCCAAGGAAATTGACTCCGGAGGTGTGCAGCGTTTGATGGGAGGAATAAAGAAGAAAATGCGAATTTTCATTAGAAACGAAGAGAATAGATTTGTATTGATATTTTTTTTCCTAAACGTACAGTGAATTAATTACCTTTGTTTTGATGTATTAACCTTATTTGTACGTCAATCCGTTACCGAGATACAGATGATTTTATTATTCCAGATTCTAAATGGACATAGATTTAATTACGATTTACTACCATTTCCCACCACATCCCACGACAAAACCAATAGGAATAGAAGTATTTAAGTGTGTTTTCTTCAAAACATTCAAAATTTCTTGCAGAAACATGAATTATATGTGAAATACTACATGATATGTGATGTTTTTTTTATGGAAAACCCCTTAAAAGTGTCTCCTTTTTCAAATAATATAACAAACCAATCCCACCAAGGTGATCATTCTCTAAACAGGTCTGATAGAACTAGGTACTGTAATTAATAATAATTGAAATTTTAAAAGAACTAAAGTTGAAAAGACGCACCTGTGTCACTCGATAAGTTATACATGTAAACCAAACCAATTCAAGAAATATAGATCATTTAAAGTCAAAAAGCTAGAGCTCATTACTGTTCCAACCATCGAAGCGAATACAAGTTACAAGTTGAATTAAAACAAGTCTAACACCCCGTTCACATTACAGCCTATATCACGTAATATAGGCTGTCTTGCAATGAGCACTCCAATGAGGATTTCCAGTGAATACTAGATGTATGAGTGCTCATTGCAAAACAGCGTATATCACGTGATATACGCTGTAATATGAACGGGGTATAAGCTTTTTCATTTAGTCCTTCGGTATTCAATCCACCTCCGCTATCGAACAGTGGTACTGCCCTGTGGCGAGCATAGACAATTCCCTTGCGTTTGACATTTACACACTATCGCCATCTGTTCAACGAACTGCCCACCACAGTGTACTCAACAGATTTTTTTCCCTAGATTTGTTTTCTGTACTGAGTACCAATGCTACCGACACCAGGGAGGCAGCTCACACTTTCTGGACGCTACCTATCAACCCATCAACTCATAGACCGGGGAGCAACGGCTTTATCAGAGATTTTATGCCTCAGAAAATTCCGGCGGTGCCGACTGGGATTGAACCCAGGCCTTTTGGAGGAGAGGCAATCACGCTTACCACTACACCCCGGCGCCGAAGTATACTACTCAACAGATGGCGGTAATGTTTTAGCGACGATGTTTTACAGTCAAAAATATGTAATGTGTTATGTCTGTTTGTCTGTGGAAATAGCCTCAAAATATTCTACGAAATTCCGATATATAGTATACCCTTACGAATTATAAACCACAGGCACCCGACAAATGGGAATATAAGCGAATATATCTCACTATTTCGAAATTTGTTTCATGCCGCTGGGCTCGGTTCCCTGAATCAACAAAATGGAGGGAGCTCAGCATAGGAGTAGTGATGCACTGAAAGTGATATTCTGCCATGTATTCAGCGTTTGCACCAAATTATTAACTGAAATTCGGCCATTTCCCACCTAACAATTGGCTGACAAGGTGTTTGAGCGAAAGTTTGAGACTGCAAAACTTAATATCCGGTACATTATTACTTAGGAGTACCTATCAGCTATTCTGGTGGCTGGAAATGAGACTAAACTGATCGTCAATTATTAGTGAAGGTGAAGACTGACTGGTTGGGCTTGAGATCCATGAAGGTTAAAGACACCTGTTAGATTTTCAATACTTTATTGATGACACAATCGTGAACCACAGCATTTGTAAAACATGCGTTATATATCCTCTGTGTGAACTAAAGTAAAGTAGTTTGCACAGTATACAAATTCCCAAGGTTTGTAATAGTATTTGAAGCTTATATTTTAAAACTAGGAAGTTCACAAATAACTACAAGTTAAACGATGTGTAGGGCAGTGGACAATGAATGATACTACAAACTTATATAATGTAAAGAACTAACAGTACAGTTGTAATTCGTTCTACTACAACGGTCGTCTCGAACCCATCGAATACCACACGGTCAGCTAGCAGTGGATTCGATTCAGCTTGGATTGCGTTTCCCGCAGGTTGTCCACGTAGGCTTGCCCGTCGGGTTTGGTGTACAGAATGCTGAGGCATGCCGAAATAAGGTCCTGCGATTTGGCTACCACCTTCCGGCGGTCTTTCAACGGCACCAGATTCGGCTGGGAACTAACGATCGAAAGCAACTTCGCTGTTGACCGCACCAGGTACAGCTCGTCCTCGTCCGTTACCCAGACGCGTTCGTTCATGGAGATAAGTCTGAAAATGGAGGACGCGAGTTTGTGAATATTGCAGAATTATTTTAGGGATTGGGATGTTACCTTGAATAAATGTTCAGCATGGAATCTACGTCCAAATTCATCTCGATCAACGCATCTGGGACGGGTGATTCGAACAACCTGAGCCTGAAGCATCTCAACTCCAGTTCACGAACGATGAATGGCAACGGGAAGCAGTGACCGGAGCTTTCGTATTCCAACGCTAAGCTCTTTACCTTGGACAACAAGCGACGGCAGCGTTCCGTGTTGCTATCCGATCTTTCAAGTTCCTTGTCCAGGATGTGGGTCCAAACGGATTCAATGAGCAGTGGGTCGTTGTGGTGGGAACAATTGAGAATCGTCAATTTGCATTCCCAGAGCTCGAATCGCTCAGCTAAGTCCGAATAGAGCTGAGTCAGGTTGTAGAGCGTTCCGTTCAGTTGTTTCAGAGCAGGTGCAACGGAAGGTTTGTTCGACACGATGGACAACGCATCGTGTACTTGTTTTTGGATTTGTGCGACTTCCAGTTTGTCTTCAAGATCTTTCAACAGCACACCATTGTGTGCCGAATAACCGACCGTATCGCTTCGCATACACATGACGGCCCTGGCGAGGTATTCGATACGCTGCTGGAGGGTCATGGTTTCACTGTGAATGTTGGCCAGCTTGTCCAGAATCTTTGCAGCGGCAGAATGCTGTCCGTTACGTTCGTGATACTTCCAGAGGAGGTCGGCAAGGGCAAAGTTTTCCGGCGTTCGATTCACAGCGCGTCCCAGGAATGCACCCAGCGAAGGTTCGCTGATTTCAAGCAGTTCTCCCAGAAGATTGTGCGATAGCAGCCATTCGTATACTGATATGTGCAGCAGTTGATCTTGGCACTGCAGCGACAAACTGATGATTGAAATGAGCTGGAAGAAGGAATTTTCTATGAATTAATGTACTTATATCGGAAGGCTTGGAGGTACTGTTTTCACAGCTATTGCTTCAATTGGTCTGTAGAAGCGACATGTTTCGCCTTTACCTTAAGGGACCATGATAAATGACGTACAGTCTTTTAGGGGTAGGGTAAGTTTGCGAAATGATGATGATGATGATGGCCCCACCTCTTACTCTCATTTCAACGAAGAGATGTAAATTTCTACATATACCTAATATGTTGCTGTTGTAATATGCTCGGAATTCAGCTACAGGATAGTTTGAATGGCTTAGCGCATAAAAAATCGTGCTTTTTGTGTGTAATTTTCGATAAAATAAATTGAAAACACTGAGCTTTTTCAGTGTTTTCAATGGGGGCACGTGGGGTTTTATGTAGTGATGAAACGTCGCTAGAACTAATCCTCAGCCGCAGACAGTATATGAGCAAGTCAAACGCGCACTTTTTTGCTTGTAGATTTGAAGAAATACTTCAAATCTACTCATCCATTGATGAGTTAGGTAAAGAAGTGTGCGTTTGACTAGTAGTGTCGCATTAATGACCCATCGCTCATTTTCAATTCCCATACTGCCGTACTCTAGCGGAACTATCTACCTACCCTCTTCAGACCTTTCTCTTGTGCTGTACCCAAGTTGTCTAGAACATCTCTCACCGTAAAACATATTAAATTATATTTACATTTGCCTAAACAGCCGGGATGAATCACCAATTCAGATAAAGTAGAGAAGGTAGGTCAGTTACGAACGAATAGTATTGCAAAAGTGCATACGGTATGTTTGGCTGACTTTCCTCTTTTACCTACTGGCGGTCGTTCGTTCCACGGCGAGTAAAGAATCATATTTCAAAACAACGTTGCGTACCGAAGGTAGTTTATTATTATCGTTTAATATTATCAAATATTGTCACCGCCGTCCCAGGCGTTTCTATCCATCATAAAGAATCGATTTTGTAAAATTGCAAACATCATCATTAATGAGCTATAAAGAGCATCTGAACAATGAATTAAACGAAGTCTTTCGACAACCATCGAGGCGTGACTTTCAATGTGCTCCGAAAGGACACCACATTCCGAAACCTCAAAGATTCCCAGTGCTCTGGCCCGGACTCGTTTCGGCACCCAGATACCACTTACTCAATGACAACCAAGTCCGTTAAAATTATGCAAACCGGACATAGTTTACTCTAGCTAATAAATTATCACACTAAAGCTTCATGTTGGATAGCATTTCCAACCAACTTTGAGAAAGTGGTAAAATTCAAACAGAAAAGTTATGTTAAAAACGCTTTTTAAAGGGGTACTACCATCAGTGGAAATTAACGATTTTAAATTGGCTCACTACTTGACTAGCCTATTGGTCCCAAGTAAATCTATAACCGTACCCCATTCAAGTCGAAATTCTAATACTACACTATGTTTGTTTTGATTCGCTATCAAAGTTTGACAGATAAAATGAGGGGTTCGTGGATTTTCCTATGTTTAGCCTGGTTAGCCTGGGACCGAAGAGAGGCCAAAAAGTACTACCGTTTGTACTCCATTTTCACCCTATAACCAAGTATAAAATGAATTCCGTGTGTGCTATCTGCTTATCCTTATCCCTCCCCAGGTGTTTACCAATAGGCTTGGCTTGAAATGAATAAAAATTCAACATCGGGCATATTTACCTGGTTGTTGGCTAACTTGTCGCGGTCTGCGCTCTCCAGCGAGGGATAAATGCTGCCACCTTTGCTGTTGCGAACGTTCGTGTAGACATGTTCCAACATCAGTTTGATTTCCCTGTAGCAGTTCATACGGCTTTGATACGCCATGAAGCCTTCCTGATCTTCGACGGGTTCGTTATTGCGGTAGAAGTGTAAGGCCGCCTCGTTCGGATCGCTCTTGGCCGCACAAATCGAGCACAGCTCGATGACTCCCGAAAAGAATCCAGCGGTGGTAAACTGCTGACAGATTGAAGTCAGCGGCAGATTAGGAGCGGCACTTTTACACAACTGCAAAGCAGTTCGGAGGCGTTCATTCTTCTCGTCCGGATCGTTACAGGTTTTGGATAGAAGCAAAATTTCCGTTGCTTTATGCGAGACAGCATCCTCGTGGCGGTACAAATTCGGACAAACCTCACGCAGTTTCGACGAAATGGAACCAACGCTTGCGTTGTCATTGAGGTAGGAATTGATCAAGGTTACAATCAGCAAACCACACAAATCCGAACGCGAGAGGATGAGATCCCGGAATGTACACGACTGCAGGATAGCTTGCTGCTCCTTGGTCAATTTGGACACTAATTGGTGGCACTGGTGTTCGCAGAGTATCTTCCAAAGGGCCAAAACTTCGCAGGAGTGCTCTAGAATCGAATTCCAAATTTAAGCTTAAAATCGTACCTATGTGAACTGGCACCGATACTTACTAATCAGTCGCGTCAACGCATCCAGTGACTTTTTCTCCTCAACCAAAGCATCTTCTGCGGTGCTCTTTTGCTGTCCTGGAACCCCGGAGAAGGCACCTTGGCTACCGAAGTGTGACTGCTGTTGTCCGTAGGGACTCTGCATTCCCATGCCAGACATCGTCTGTTGATGGTGTTGGTGCTGTTGTTGCTGTTGCTGCTGCTGTAGGTAACCACCTGGTCCGCTCATACTACCGGCATTGGCCATGTTCTTGCCAACTAGTCCAACCAAATTGGTCAGAGTGATCGATTCCAGAAAACGTTTGATGGCAAACAAATCCTCCAAAATCTGAGCGCAATCTTGCTGGCTGATGGTGGTGTGTAACTTGTCATCTATGCAACGCTTGCGCCAGATCGAACGCAGCAAACGAGACATGTGCAGGTAGAGCCCGGCGTGCTTTGCCGAGTAGTGGAAGTTTGGCGAATCCGCCGTTAGCGGGAGGTTATTGTTGAAGCTGTGGCTCATGGACGACGACACTGTAGAGAGGGAGAATTCGTTTTTAATTTTAGTCGATCAAAAAAGTGGTGTATAATGCCGGTGTCATACTAGGACTGTTCGGGAACTGGGTTTGTTGCATGAGGCTCTGCTGAACGGAAGAGGCCGGTCGCGAGGCCGAGAATGGTGTGGACATGAACATCCGCGGTCCTCCTTGTTGATTATCTAAAAAATAATAATGCGATCAGAAAAACTCCTTGCACCAAACACTATGACGGCTTACCACCAAATCCAGTGGCAGGCGAGTTGAAGCTTAGCGGTCTGGCAGCCGCCGAATGACCGCCCATATAGGCACCCATATCGAAGAACGGTTCCCCACCGTACAGGATGAATGCCTGAGCGGCCCAGTCTCCCAGTTCTGTGCCCTTTAATGTCTCTATGCAGGCCAGCAGTAAACTTGTAGCACAGGCCTGCGGTTCCGACTGTACCTGGAAGTAAGCCTTCACCGCTTCATTGTGCGGACCATGGCAAGCCAGCAGCAATTGTTGTAGGATGTCAACGGACTTTAATAGGGAAACAATGTGCACGCCTTGATTGGTAAGGAGAGCGACTTTCTTGGGAACTTGAGCGGCCCGTAGCGGAGTGTCTACGGTAATCTTGTCCTTGGGTTTCACTTCGGCTATGGACCACACCTGGCCATCCATAGTCATAACCGTGGATGATTCAACGAGGTTTTGTCTGGACGGGAAAGGTTCCGAACTAAGCGACCATAGCAGATCCTGATCTGGTTGAGGTGTCGATACCATCAGCAGTGATCCTTGGCTATAGAAGGCTGAGTGTACCTGTTTCGGTTTCCCAACGGTTGTGTTCGGTGTGTATCCCGGAGGAAGACGGACGTGGAGAAGGTACAAACCCTGTGGACGTTGCTGATGCTCGAAGGTAGGCATACCTGGTTGCTGTTGCTGTTGTTGCTGCTGTTGTTGGAGTTGCTGTTGCTGGATACCGAATAGCACAGGCACCGTTGAGAAGTAGAATCGCACTCCTGTTTGGGTGATGGCAATCAGATGGACCTGAGGAGAATCCTCCTGTGACAGAGGACACAAAGCCGTCACCGGTTTGAAAACGGATGGCTCAATCGTTCGCAGTATGTTTCCAGCACTAGAAGCAATGTCATTTTGCGAAATTCTTGCGATTCGTCTCACCGAATTGGCATCCGTGCCAATGTCCCAAGCCTCGATTGCTCCCTTTTCCGTCAGGGCGTACAGCAATCGACGCGAGTTATCGATCGTTATTTTTGAAATGGAATCATTCTCAGAGAACACTTTGAATATGCCAGGAACCAGGTGGGACATCAACCCTTGCGAATGATTAACCTTCTTGCTGCGTTTTCCAAACCAATTAGATTCCGCCTGGTAGGAAATTTCATATAGGCACCCATCTCGACCACCTAAAAATATCCTACCATCCGAAGTTCCCTCAATGCAAGTAATCGCAATGTTATCCGTATTCATCACAAAGATTGGCTTGTTCAACAACTGCATCTCTTCAATGGAAGAAGTGATCGAACGATTTGGTGACGCATTTGAATCACCAAAGGTTACCCCCAGGATGACTATTTCAATTGGAGTGGTCAGCACCAGCAGATACTTCACGTCGGATATAAACACTCCCGGCTTGGGAACTACCAAACCAACGCTGACAATCAAATGGGTGAGACCGTCAAAATATGCCACATCCCTGGTATGCTCGTAGGTCCAGATCTGAAACGAAATAAACATCAGTGCCATGCCTATTAAAAAAACAAATTTGCTCACATAAATGTCGGAATCGATAGTTAACCAGGCTCGACCAATTTCCGGGAAAAGCCCCATCATACAGTGACATTTTATATCTGAAAGCAAGTAATATGTTTGTAGCATAAATTCCGCAGATCACCACAAACTCGCCCTCGGCGCACTTACGCTTGAAATGTTCCATTATTTCCGGGGGAATGGGAATTTTGTTCGTGGTTGCAAGCTGGTTCAGATTCTTTAGGCCCAGCGACAAACTGGACAAATTTTGATAGTCGTAGTCGTTCAATCCACTAGCGGTCGCCATTCCAGATTGTTTGATTCCGGTTACCTAAACAGCAAAGAATGTTTATTTTCATACCGATGGCCATTTGAGTAGAGGTTAGGTTTTCAACGTTCACTAAATCCGGTAAATCAGGAGCGAAAGCTTCATCAAAATACCAAGACAAACTCACCTCCAGCAATCCGGGAGTGGAACAGTCCGCTATGTCGTGTCGCTCCAGCATGGTGCCGGCAAACTCCAGCGAGTCTACCAGAGCGGAAGATTCCGACAGACTCATCGTTGTTGATTTCTTTGCAGCACTGTCGTTGCGCAAAATAATCAGAATAAAACCACGGTTTTACAATTTCCCAACGACGCACCTGTAGGCACTATTTTGCTTCAATTCAATGTGCTTTGAAATGTTTTCCAGTTAAAATTGCCGCTAACTATTTTTCACGAATTACGAAGAACGATGCTACCCTTTTTTGAAGATCTCTTTTGACAGCTGCCTGAAAAGCAACGGATCGCCTGCGCGGGTTGTCATTTTGATTTTGATTGTTTGGATGAACAAGAATGAACCTTTTATGGTGGTAAGCTCCAACCGGTATTATTCTGGGACTAAATTCCAATCAAGTATGTCCGGCTACTTGAAGTCGTCATCAGAGCTAATCAACACGACTCTAAGCAAACACTTTGTAGATCATCCAAACAGGGTCGATATTCAAAGTTAATCCGAGTTGGAGCTTACCGCCATTAGTGGTGTTCGAAAAAGAGGTCAACAAGGTTTTGCACCGCCAGGGTTTACCTCAATCGGATGACAGTTCAGTGGTACTATCTACGCAACCTGGTCTATACTAGAGTCGGTGTATAATGAGGCTGTGTTCCATTTGGTGAATTTTTACTTAAATTTGACAGATGGAAAATTTTCAAATAAACCTGCTATTCCAGCAGACTTATTTCTGACAGACAAGGAATAAATTTTGACAAACGCTTTCTCGAAAATCGGCCGATCAACAACAGAGGGATTTTCGAACATCTTAATTTATTTTCGAAGTGTCAAATCTAAGTGAAAATTTTCCAAATGGAACACAGCCTGAGTCACGCCAAGAGAAAAACAGTTGAACTCGCATCACGGTTTTCCGAAGATTCCCATTCTTTTCACTTGGCAACAGAGGACTTCTACAATAACTTCAAATGACTTCTAGCGAGAGAATAAATATTGCGGCTGTAGTAAATCATTATATCAGTGATTTTGTCAAATTATCTTAACAAAAAATAGTAGAAATTCTTATTACTAATCATTACCGAGCGTATCCCATGACAATTTAACGCTCACTGCGTGTTTATGCTAATTTCTTCGATTATATTTTATATTTTATTGCAATACCTTTCGTGGACCTTTCATAGCATCGTAATGTTTATTTATTTTGCACGATAGGTAGCCGGTTTGACAGTTCAATAGGTAGACTTGGCTTCACTCTTGGCTTGACTCATTATACACCGACTCTAGTCTATACAAGGTGTGGAGATCTAGCCCTGACGTATGTGTTGGTACAGGGAAAAATGTAAACTTTGCGGGGGACGATGGTGACGACGTCATAACACTAAAAAGGAAATTTTCGAAATAAGAAGTAAAACAAATCGTAGCTATTTTTGCATGATGATTTTGCTTGATTGTATTCTTTTGTAAAGTCGCCGCGAAATATTAGCTGACAATTTTTATTTTATGATAACTCCTTACTTGAAAACAGGCAAAAACTCACAAACAGACTGCTTTTTCATGGTATACAGTGTGATAATTCAATAATCAATAAATTATCTCAACATTTAGTGGCAGACCATTCATAAATTTTGGTAACATACATAAATTCTATAATCCATATTAATTTTTCTATGCAAGCGTCGATCAAAACAAACGCTATGACGTCACTACAAGGGTGATTGAGTGCTTGTAAGAAACGAATCGTGCGAAGCGGAATGAAAGCCGAGTAAAAAACGAAGTGCACCAATACATTCAGGCCTACGTGGACTTATAAACCTTTTGACGTTTCATAATCTTTCTCTATCTAGCACACATGGATGAATGAACGGTTTGTTTTCCCACTTATCTGTTTCCCTCTTGCTCGCACTCGTTCGATTTAAATGGTGCAGTAGTGTGCGCCGATTAAACGTCAAAAAGCTCTATAGGCTGTGTTCCATTTGGTGAATTTTCACTTAAATTTGACACTTCGAAAATAAATTATAATGTTCGAAAATCCCTCTGTTGTTAATCATCCAATTTTCGAGAAGATGTTTTCAAAATTGATTCCTGGTTTGTCAGAAATAAGTCTGCACGGTAATTCTAGAATACTCCTTTTACGACTACCCTAATAAAAATTGTATGGTTAATTTGCTTAACGACGTGTTCTGGGTATCTTCCAAACCATTTGTGGAATAGTTCAATGATTTGGGTTATCGTTCGTTTATGGTTATTTTTTATTCAAATCACTGACAAAATCATACTTTAGCAATCTCTATAGTTTTATCGAGAGTTTTATCTCGCTTTGACAGTTGTGTCTCTTTTAGATGTAAGGAAAAGATGTTTCGACAGCGACGGCAGCGCTATTCTTCCTCTATAGTTTATTAGCTCTACACAGCAAAAAAATGTAATATCGATCAATGTAATTCAAGCTGATGTATGAAATAATGATGTAATAGCAAAAAGCAGATAGAATATTACATCAATGGATGTAATTTTGTTCGCAAAATCGATGTACATCGTACAACCACAGACAAACAGACATAACACATTGAATATTCCTCATTGTAAAACATCGTCGCTAAAACATTACCGCCATCTGTTGAGTACACTGTGGTGGGTAGTACACTGAACAGATGGCGGTAGTGTGTAAACGTCAAACGCAAGAGAACTGACTATGCGCGCCACAGGTGGCGGTACTACCAACTACGATACTTTTAAATTGACCGTTAAATGCTTGTTCGATGAACAACTTGCGAGTGTTATGTCTGTTTGTCTGTGGTACAACGTCATATCAAGAGCAAATTTTCATTATGTCGTAAGTAACATTCGCATCAATCCGAGAAAAATAAAGTTTTGTTTTGATGACCGAAAAGTTATTCCTATTTCCAAGTAAACACATATAATCTCATAGTGATAGCAATGTTTGACATATTTAGCAGGGTTTTAATCATACAAATGCAAATCGCTAGCTTTCATGGTAAAAAATACTGGTTTTTGAGTCAAAAGTTATTATACGTCGTTTGGTGGCCCCTATTGTTACTTAAGTCAAAGTGTATTTACCAGGATATTCGGGAGAATTATCAATTACGTCTCCTCACGTGCAGCCCATTCATCATTTTAGGACCACCGAAATCATCTTAGCAACAAACAGTTCGATTTATTCACTTTAATAATGAGAAAGCGAAACGACGAACGTACACTTTTCACGGGTTTCTCAGCACTGTTACTTAAGGCAAACGGCATCTCCATAGAAATCGGGTGACTTAAGTAACATCGAAAACTATTTTGATCGGAAGGTGATTACGTCAAAAAGCAATTTGACTGGTAAATAAATTTAAAAATGGGATTTGATCCTATATTCGGACAGTATATAGTGTAATAGCAGGAGAATCGATTGACACTGATAGCTCGACTTTGTTTACCTTTGTTACATTCGACGTAATGAAAATTTGCTCTTGATATTACACAACCGATGGATTGACTTGGCTGCAGCAGTTTGGATGTAATATTCAACAACTTTTTTTTTCTGTGTATTACGAAAACGGGAATACGAAATTGCCTTCCTTTCGAACGAAATAATGTGTCTTCCTGGCATCACTGTTAACTTTTCTCGATTTTTTTTTTAATTCTGTGCACTTCTGTCAAAACAAAATCAGGTTCAGTGATTCTTGGAAAATTTACGCATTTACGCGTTTTCCATTGCTGTTTAATCAGTTTTTGTCGATTTCTATCCACTAAAGGTCAGTTAATTTAGTTTAATTTAAGCAGACTGCATTATTCTCATTCCTAAAAAGGAAGCGAAAGTGAAATTATTGCTTAAAATTCTCATACATTCGTTCTTGCAAAAACTCCACAGCAGCCATCATTAGTGGCATCAAGGTGCAGTACGTGGGATAATGAGTTTGGCTGACCCATGGAGCAGCGGCAGTAGCGATTCCAACAACGACGCAGCAGCTCCTTCCCTACAGTTTGAAGATAATTTTGAACCCTCCGCTACGGGAGTTAGCGTTCCCGGTGCCAGCAGCAGCGATATTCAACAGCCTCGGGACGGCCGTCTTCCAGATTCCGACAGCTACCTGGCAGTATTAGGTAACTGCGTTGCGTGTGGTGTTTTTTTTTTGTTACAATGTACTCATTCGTTCATTTTGTTTTTTTTTTTATGATCGATTGTGTTATCAACAAAACAATGATTGAGTCATGAAGAATAACTTTTTGAATGATGTGCTTATTTTCATCGTCTTTCATTGGCAGAACGTAGGTTGAGGAGAATTAAAACGAATCCTACTGTCCTGCAGCAGTTGGTTGAACGACGTGAAGCTTGTATGCAGCATTTGCTGAACGACAGCAGCATCGCTATACGTGGAGATTCCGAACTAGCTCTGGACGAACCGGTCAACCATCACGAACTATTGCGGTTTATCCGACCCGAACAGGCGTTGTCCGTGGCGGAACTGGTGCACATCGTCAAGTACGATCATCTCGAGCAGGAACCGACTGAGTCAGATCAACTGCAGGACTCCGGCAAGGAGGGAGAAGAAAGCGGAACCGAAAGCTCAACCAGTCGCTAGTAATTAGTGCGGAAGGTAGGTGTGATTATAATGATTGTCTTTTATACGTGAATCAGCGTGCTTGCTTGATGTGCTTGCAATCATAGTGTCGATGTTGTTTTTGGCTTTTTGCCGCCTTGAGACGAGATGAATGAATGGTCATAATGATGCAATGCAATGCCGTCAGTGGCGTAGTGGAAGGTCCGGTTGTACATGTGCGAAACTCATAATAATTCTCCCATAGTCTTTGAAACACGGAGGTGTTGGGTAAAAAGTTGCATTATTTTGATAAAATTGTAAAATACGAAGCAAACACATATTCCCTCATCAACCCCACCACTATGGCATTGTGCTGAGCATTGACTCATCTAAAAGCAATGCAACTAATGACCGTTAGGACCTAATTACAATCTTTCACATAAACTCACGTAGCAAACAGCACTAAGACGGATCCGTTCGCTGATTGTATTTAACATTGACTGGCATTAACAGATCATAATCACACTTGTTCGCAGCAGCAGCAGCATGTCCTCCACTACGAAAATTGACCTTAACCAGGTCTCCTACCTGCTAATTACCGGCGCGTCCCGAGGAATTGGTCAACGCATGGCAATCGAAACGGCACGGAAGCTCAAGCCTGGATCCATTATAGTTTTGTTGGCGCGTTCCGCATCCGGATTGGAATCGACTAGGGCGGAAATTCTGGAAGTCAATTCACGTATCACTGTCGTTACGAGTTCGGTCGATCTGGGTAACGCTTCCAAACAGCTACTGGAGGACATTATCGAAAAATCTTTGACCAAGACACCGGTTAGCAACTTTGAACTGGCTACGATCATCCATAATGTTGGTACTATCGGCAATGTGGAACGCAAGGCCGTCGACATGTGTGACCGTCAAGAGTGGGAAGAATATTTTGCTACAAACGTGTTCACCGTTGGTGTTCTAAATAGCTGCTTTCTGCACAAATTCAAGGAATGTGCCAAAAAATTGGTTGTGAATGTGACCTCGAAGGCGTGCATGGTCCCGTTCAAAAGTATGGGATTCTATTGCGCCGGAAAAGCTGCTCGAGAGATGTACTTCAAGGTGCTGGCCGACGAAGAAACCGATCTTGTCGTTCTGAATTACTCTCCCGGTCCAGTTGATACCGATATGACCGTTGACATTCAAGGTCGTTCCATGGACGAAGGAACGCGCAACTATTTCAAGGATCTACGAGAGACCACCACGATTCTCACCACCCAGCAAACAACTGAAAAGTTTCTGAGCATTCTAGAAGCTGGCCAATTCAAATCCGGAGACCACGTTGACTATTACGATTGATCGTGATCGAACGTTCCTTTCCCATATTACTATTGCTTATTACTTGTTCTGATTTTATATAGCTATCCTTATATACTCAATACATTCCGAATAAATGTGCATTATAGCTGAAAGCAGATAACAACTCTTGAGTTTTCTTTCCACCCTCTCTTTTCAGACCTCTTCAAGCTATCCGAAATTCCTCACATTTTAGCCACATCATGAATTCGACATTCGGTAAAACTTTCCTTTTTCTCACAAATCTGGCGTGGAAAAGTCGAGTGACGCTTCCGGTGCTGATAACAGCCGGTTTTATGATATTGAACTTTCGCTGGGAGGTGGAAATCAACATCCACACAGAACGGATAGCCATCCAGGGGGTGAACGATGGACGTGATGGCGGCGGCGGAGGAGGCGGTGGCGTAGCAGCGATCGACTACAGCTTGGAAGAGTCGTGGGAAACGACCGACGAGAGCGACGCAGATGACGACGATGATGAGGAAGATGAAACCGATTACGAAGAATCCGACGATGACGACGACGACGACGGCATGTACAGCGACGATGACAGAGCGGATGCCGAAATTCGTCGGATAGCTTTGGTTACCTTCTAGGCGGGTTGGTGACCGTTTGTTTAGGTTAACTGGTATCATAAAAAAATCTCTTTCAATGCAAGTACTTTAATCCATGTTATTTATTAAAATAAACCGTTGTTTGAGAGCATACCAACAGGCGTTTTACTTCATCGAAGGTTCAGTGCATTTAGGAAAAATAAGATGGGGTGTGTATATTCGTTCGGAGGAAGAGCCTGCTCTCTTTTAAACAAGGTGCATACTGACTAAAGTGCGTACAAAATGCTGTCCGGCAATCTCACAAAGCGTCCCGTCCTTCGAGCTCTTCCGGCTTTGGCCATTTTCATATACCCTGCACGTGTCGTTCCAAAACTCCTAGTCCGTGCAAATCCTCCTCGAGCATACGGTGCATAACACCTTGTAAGCACCATTTTGAACAGGATGCAGTCGAAGCCCTATTCCGTCATCTTCACACAGAACTGTACACCGTCCATCATAGCGTTGATCAATTTAGCTCGAAAACATTGGTCGGTGGTGGAATAGATTTCGGCCTGGAAGAAGCGAAATGTTTCCATCTTGGCGTGAAGTTCATATTTCTGTGAACGTTGTGGTATCTTCTGTAGCGACGCACAGTGGGACGAAATAAAAAAAAAGAGTGGGACATGGCCATTTGCGACGAGACTATTGAGTGTAGTATTTTACCGACTTCTAGAATGTTCCTTCATTTTTTGAGTACTTTATTTGAGTGGTAAACATTTTTGCTTTGAATTCATTTTTAAAAAAACTTTGTCGAAGACGACGAAGTTATGGGGTGAAAATGGAGTACAAACGGTAGTACCCCGTTTTTTACTCTAGCTTTTTTGTTTGTATTTTACATTTTTTTTTCAATGTTCTACAAAGTTGTAAGCGCTCTGAAATTGCACATTTTAGCTGAAGGATACAAATCGGTATCTATTCGTTTTAAGGATTTACGTCCGCTTTTATAATTGTTTAACACTATCTTTATACTTGGAAAAATAGTCATGAAAACAGCCAAACGTAACAAAACATTGAGATACTTCATTAGAAAATTAATTAGACATCCCTTTGTATTCCCCTATGAATCGTATATGTAAAAGTGGGGTATAAGTTGCTCAACAAAATAACGTTGAGATAAGCGACTAACACCTGCTAACCTGCAAGATATACCCCCTTAAAGACAGTGGTAAAAAATCCTATCTTATCCTATCTCTACCCAATCTTCATTCGTTAATTCTCTGTATCTACTTTTATCTTGCTCCAAAGTATCATTCCAAGTAACACTAGGTCTTCCTTCTTTCTTTTTATTAAACTTTAATTTAAATGCTTTTCTAAGAGGATGTACCCTTTCTATGCGCATAATGTGTTCGAAGTAAATTAACCGCTCTATTCTTATTTTCTGTTGATTGTTTTGCCATCTAAGAGTTTTGTTTTATATTAAAGCTTTCTTACAATGATTTAATATCAGTTACTCAATATTAATTTTTCATAATTTCGTTTCATTTTTCATTTCGTTTATTTGGCAGCCTCAAATGTTATAAAAAAATAACTTAGCGGAGCCGAGTAACATGGAATACCAATTTTGGTACTCAAAATACAAAAAAAAAGACATAAAAATGCATTTTATTATAGGTTTTTCCTGGGTGGCGATCGAAGCGGCGACAAAGCAATCTTCTCCCCTACCCGCAGCATCTTTCTTTCCCGAATTTGTTCCTCATTTTCATCGTGATCGCTGCTGCTGCTTCTGAACGTCGTTTCTCGTTGCATGCTCTCCGCTACTCTTGTCGGTCGTCGGGGTCGTTATTTTCATTCAACATCTCCAACCCCGTGTCCGTTTTCTGGTCGCTAACTATCGACTAACGACCACCACTACACCAGCATACGTACTGCTGCTGTTTTGTTTTCTTTCACTTTGCTGCTTTCCTTTTTCCTTAAATTGCTTCTCCGGTTCCTTCCGAGCCTTCCACTTGGGACAGGAAAGCTTCCGGTGTCCGTCCGCCTTGCACAGAAAACATTTATCTTTGTTGCCATCATAAAATATATTTTCTTTGCGATTGAAAAAATGTAATGACGTGGGGATTTCCTTTTTCACATCCATATACGCGGTATATTTATATCCCTGTATATACCTCAAAGCACAGATCAATTGGAAATTTCTCCCGGATGATGCGTTTAATTTTTCTATATTTCCCCAGTACTTTATCCAGCTCGTTGTCGGGTACCTCTGGTGGCAAGTAATACACACGCACATATTGGATGAATTCACCGGCATGCGACATGCGTACCTTTGCCGTCGTTCCATTCGCATAATGGAAGATTAAATCCTCCGAATTGTATGTCAGAGCATGGAACATCGCTTCCTCTGATTTGAACTCCATGAAGACTTCATTTCCTCACCAAAGCGATGCTTCCATTTCAGCCGGATCCGCGTCGAGTGCTTTGGCGAAATTTACAATCTCTCCGATGTTTGGTTTAGCATCACCATGGCTGAAGCTAAACTTGATTGGGTTTTTTTTATTTCACACATCTTGCACCGTAGCAACAAAAGGCACCGAACTGCTAGCAACGAACAAAGAGCAACTATATAATAGCGAGTCCCGAAAACAGGCTATCGCGTGGTTTTCACCGAAATAAAAAATCGACTGTTGCTGTAGACAACTGTGGGACAACTGAGAAACTTAGTAGTAGTCACTATGAATGGAGTTCAAATTTCCTAATCAAACTAAGTGAAATAACTTGGACTAGTACTTGACCAAAAATTAACTTTTAAAGGTCACATTGAGGGCATTCAAGCCAAATGTAATAAATATATAAAATGTTTGTATCCTCTTATAAACAGGAAATCCAAACTTTGCCTGAAGAACAAACTTCCGACGAGTGTTCGAAAAATCTTTCTCAAATCTCATAAACTCGCGTACGAATGCGGCAAAAAAAATTCACGCTTGAGATTCTCATGCATATTCAAGCACATTCAAGCACTCACACTCACAACGCCGAAAAATCATTCCAGCTTTAAACTCATAAAAACCACTCAAAAGTCAATTTATAGCATGCTTATGCATGTTGTATTAGTTTCCCAACCCCTGACGCACAAAGAATAGTGTCGCATTATGGGTGAACTCGAACCACTCGATCCACTCGCACCAGCTGTTTCCTGCCATCAGATTCGTTCTGGCCCTGCGACCTCGAGTTGAGAAGCACTTCTGATACTACTCATTTACAACATCTGCTTTACTGTTCGTACAACAGACCGCTTTTTTGAAGCTCCTGGTTTCTCCACCCCTATCGTGGTTCTGATTCCTGCCAGCACTCAGCATAGTCGTCCTGGACCTGTGCCTGGATATGGATCAGGAGTCTTCCAGCTTGCTTCTACAGGCAAGAACAATCAAAATATTGACCATTCACGGACTATGTAAGTCATTGCGATGATGCCTATGTATGTAACTCCCAATCCTGGGAACCCTGAACGCGCCGTAGAATGTCCCATGGAAGCCCCCAATCCCTCCGCCTCAGTCCTGCAATCAGCTGCTTTCGTTCATCATAGTCGTTCCGGACCCAGGGCTGGTAGTGCTGATGCGATATAATAGTAGTGATTTTAGTGACTAAAATTACGGAAATAGTGACCAAGTAGTGACTTGTAAATACTAAATAAGTAACCATTTATATGGTAACCTAAAAATTGAAATACGGTTTGATATGTCATGTGTGTGTGTGTGTGTGTGTCATCCTCTATCCCTCACCCAGCCGGGGGCGTTGGACAAGTAGAACTGCGAATAATTTGATCAAATCTCATGCTCCGTAATGGTGCCCTTTATGTTGTGAAGACTAGTACTTCAAAAAGGGTAACTTTTGAGGCAAGACAGGGTGTCCTCAACAAGTTAAGGGAACAGGATGCACTAGATGTCCACAACAGGTACAGCAAAACATCACATAGACGCCCTTATTCACACTAACTACTCAGGGGGTAGAAGGTCAAGAAGAGCCACCGCCGCCAACTAAAGCTTGAACCGGGTACCTGGGACTCCCACGATATACCCGCGGCAATGGTCAGCAGACGATGCCCTGTGCGTATTTAGTATGTAATATGTTTTATTTGGATACACAAAATGTTTGAAGCCATGCGTCATCTAAACCATAATTTGCATCACCACAAATACACTTGTCAACAATCTTCAACTGGAACGTACTCACCAAATCACTTCACCCGGGAGCGCATTCCCGATGCTTCCACGCATATTTTTTTTCCCTCCACTCCAACCACACAACAACCAAATATCACTTTTCTTCACTTTTCTCTTTCAAGTCACTCCGTGCACAAAAGCAATGCACATCTCAAAACCCTTCCAATAGATCAGCGCACTTCTCATCACCGCGTAAATAAACAGAAATTAAAATTTTCACTCGCGATGCCACAAATTTCTGGTCCGGGAGAAACAATCAAACCACGCCAATTTTGCAAACATGATGAATCTAAAAACGGTTTGATGTGTCATGGAACCTAAAATCAAATTTCATAAATTCCTCTCATTTAATCGAATCTCACAACGGAATCTCCTGTGAAGAGCATTTGAAGTGATTTGAATAATTTACTTTTGCTTAAGTTGTACATGATGACTAGCAAATAATAATTCCCATTTTTTTATGATCTTGAATTTGATCCTGCGTTTGAAATATTTAAATATTTTATATATCTAGGTAGATAACTTTAATAATTTGCTATGAACTTTTCACAGAATTTCTTCAGAATGATTTCAAGAACTTTTTTAGAATAATTCCCTTTATCCTAAACTTAGAGGCAAATAAGCTTTTACAAACATAATATTGCATTCTTGAAATTCTTTGCAGAACAATCAACAAAATTCTTGGAAATAGATTATTTTCGTAGTTGGAAATGCTTAACATCAAATATCAGAATTAATGTGGACATTTTATACGATAGATGAGGAGATGAAAGTAATGAGTTTATAGTTCCGTTATAGTGTGGTAGTGTGAAATTTGTATACAGAAAGAAGAAAGCGAACAAA